TTTTTGCTAAATTTGGCCATTGTTGGTCTTGTTGAAGGTCTTATCGCTGAGTTAGCCGAAGTTGTGATTTCATTTGTGGCTGCGGTCTCAAAATCCTTTATTGAAGTTGAGGAAGCATTATTGAGGAGAAGCGTTTCTTCCACTGCAGCAGTGGCAGTTGGCTCTGGAGCAAATTTCCTTAGAGTAACAGTTGACTGCCCGAATGTTGTAGTTTTAGAACTACCTTCTATCGGAGTAGCATAATAACTGCCTTTCATAGAGGACACATCTGCCGTGGTCGCTGGAGCAGTAATCGTTCTTATTATTGTATCAGAAGAAGCACGGGTCAGCGTGGAAGTAGCGCTCAAAGTTGAATTTATAGGGAAAAGCGTAGTTATTTTAGCAGCACTAGTAGTAGGCGGGCAAGAGATTGTTGTTTCAGGGTTACCAGTCCTATTCCAAGCAGTATCAGCACTGAAAGTTGTTGCTGAGGTTCCTTGTTTCACTGTCGTGACAGTACTTTCTGACAACGTTGCTCTGATATCCGCCGACCTTGCTGCAGTGGTGACAGCAAAAGTTAAAGATGATAACGATGACGTGGTATAGTGTTCTGCGAATGCTACCGTAGCTAAGGTAGCTAACGATGCTACTGTTGACGTACTATCGGTAGCTGTTTGCTCTGCCGCAGTGCTGGAAATTCCTGCTATAGCTGGAGACGATAACTTAGTGGATTGTGTTGCTGTTGTCTCAGGAAAGCTCACTGACGGCGTTGATGCAGTAGAGGCCTGAGTTGCGCTCACTGCTGGAGAGGTGACAGGACTCGCTAAGAACGGTAAAGTTGACACTGCAACCTGCTTCTGAGCTGTTGCACTTTTGCTGGGAAATCGCGTTGATGTATCACTTGTCGCCACTGCGGTGCTGACAATGCTTACTAAAGACGTTCTGTCCGACGTAGAGGTTTGCTCTGTCACAGCTGCACTATTTGAAGAAGGTGTAACTATCATAGTGCAACTATCCGCTTGCTCCGTCAATGTAGGAAAACTTGATATGTGCAATGAATCTGAAGTAAAAGTTGGGATTTTTCTTGTAACAACGGCATATGAACTTGATGTGGTAGATCTTGCTGTTTTCTCAGCCGATGCAGAAGCATATGATGAACGTGTCGTTATCTTAGTAGCACTAACTTCTGATGTTGCAAAATCAACAGAGATTGTTCTTACCGCACTTGTCTGCTCTCCTATAGCTGCATCGTCTGAAGTGGAAGATCCATCCATAGATTCTTTCCTAGTATTTGGGAAAGATGAGGTTATTCCTGTTGTACCCGCTTGTAGTACTATACTGGTTGCATCCTTTGATTTAGGCAATAGCGCAAAACTTTGTGATTCTTTCGCCATCGCCATCATACCTTTGAGGGAGGGTAACATTGCCTCAGTGGTGATAGGAGCTTGTACTGTACTGGTAACAATATTTGTAGGAAATGAAGTTGTTAACGCTGATTGTTTCATCGTTGCCGACGTAATGCCGGTGGACAATATTGCTGCTGTCGTGCCTTCTAACGTCACTGTACTATTGGAAACTGGAGACTGGATCCTTTTTTGTGTTGCTGCCATGAATTGTAGTTCAGCTGCAAATTTGCAATTTTTGTCACATGAAATGGCTGTAGTATTACCAGTATCTGCCCTAATTGTAATGAGACTAGTATTTGTC